ATAGGGCACAGCCCGTGTGACCAGCTCCATTGCATGAGAGAGTTGTATCTAAAAATAAAGGAGAACCGCACACATCAAACTCAATAGAATTAATAAATTAAATCAAAAAAAATCAAAAGGGTTTAGAAGGAATGACTTTGTGGAAGTCACACCACTTCTTCTTGGACTTGAGTGCTGATTCAGAACCTCCAGGAGCTTTTCCTGACTGTCGTGCAACTTCTGCAGTGATCCGGATCTTAACTGCATCAAAGGTAAGTTTATTTTCTTCAATTGTGTTGATTACGGATGACTGAAATATTTGCCATTCAGGAGTGGATGGGAGAGATTGGAGAAGAGCGAAGGCCATGAGTTTGGTATGGACTATTAGTTTCATTACGGAGAGGTGTGAATCAATTGTCCGGATTTTCGCAATGTGATCCTGGATAGGTGATGTCCCATCCCAGGACAATTTGGTCAGTTGCTGGAATGAATAGAAGGCCGAGGTAATGTTGGACGTCTGATGGAGTGAGACAAGTTTATCAAATAACTCCTTGGAGCTGGTGAGGTCTCCAGTCTTCATTAGGAGGGCATCAGAGATGTGGTCCTGGATGATTCTGTGTGCCTTCTCATCCTTAAGTATCCAGGTGATTTCAGGATCCTCTGAGGAGGTGGGCTTTCCTGGTGAGGGCTTAAGCTCCTCTTCAGTAACAACTTGGAGAACCTTTTCTTGATGTAGCTTTGAGATGATCCAGAGTTTCCATATCTAGAAATTGTTGGGTCCAGTGAGAACTGGACATGCAGAGGTATCATGTGCTATGGTCATGGTTTTGAGGTTGCCGTTTCAAATGAGAATTGTTTCCTGTGTAGCTCTTGTGCCACTAGGGCTTAAAACCTAATAAATCTAAGTGAAACTCAGCTGCTTCCCAAGAGGCTATAGAAACAACTATTAAGAACAAAGCTTGAAGGAAGTGTCTAGCCACTTGCTGAGAGCAATCAGGGACTGGAACTAGAGTCCAATGTGAGTAACTGTATTATTAGAGAGTATGACAGGTATACAGTACCTAGAGTCCAATGTGAGTAACTAGAGAATAGGAAGCATTGGACTCCGCAGTACTGTCCGAAGTTTTGTAAACAAAGGTAAACAAAGCAGCCACAAAGGCGAAATAATAGAGAACACAATCAATAGTGAATGATAGAAGAATAGATAGAGAAAGGAATGAAAATATATAGGTAGCACAAAGGTGCAGAATCACCAAAACTAACACTCCCCCCTGATGCTGCACCTCCCAAGCATCAGCTCCCCCCTGATCTAATAAGTCCCATCATCTTCCTGAACACTTCCACTTTAGGCTTGGCAAGAGCCTTGGTCAACAAGTCTGCAGGCATTTCAGCAGTGGGAACAAAGGTAGGAGCAATCTGCCCAGAGTCAACAACATCTCTCAACCAATGCCATCGCAGATCAAGGTGTTTCATCCGACCATGGTGCTCAGGGTTCTTGGATACAGAGATGGCAGATTGGTTGTCAATATGAAGGGTGGAAGGAGAGGTGATAGGATAGCCCATTTCCTTCAACAAATTTCGCATCCAGCAGATCTCTTTGCCAGCCTCAACAGCAGCAATGTATTCTGCTTCAGTGGTGGACAGAGCAACAATGTTCTGAAGCTTGAGGCTCCAGGAGACAGCACCAGATCCCATCTTGACAATATAGGCACCAGTAGAACGACCAGAGTCCTTGTCACCACCATGATCAGCATCAGAGAAAGTGGTGAAGAGTTCAGTGGAATTGGGATCAGGACCAAGGACAAGGGAATGATCAAGGGTGCCTTGCAAGTAGGGGAACAAGTGCTTGACAGCGCTCCAGTGAGTAAGACCAGGATTAGAGTTATATCTGGCAAGAACTCCAACAGTGTAGGCAATGTCAGGACGAGTGGTAGTGGCCAGATACATCAGAGCACCAACAGCAGCAAGGTAAGGAATGTCCTTCATCAAAGCAGCATCACTGGATGTTTTGGGAGACATGTCCTTGGTGAGGCGCAAACCAGGATCCATGGGAGTGGACACAGGCTTGCAGTCCTTCATGCCAAAGCGCTCCAGAATGTCCAGAGTGTACTGATGTTGGGAGAGGGAGATGGTGCGATTACTTAGGTCTTTAGTGATGGAAATGCCAAGTAAATAAGAAGTAGGGCCAAGATCACGAAGCTTAAAGTGCAGGGAGAGGTCCTTGACAGCTTGGTCAAGTGCAGAAGTAGAAGTGGATGCCAGTGTCATGTCATCAACAAAGACAGGCAGGATAATGCGCACATCAGCTCTGTTAAAGACATAGATGGCAGAGTCTGAATAAGTACGCTTGAATCCGAGTTTTTCAAGCACAGTGTGCATCTTCTGGTTCCACATTCTGCCTCCCTGCTTTGTCCCATAGATGGCCTTGCTCAACTGGCAAACAAGATTGCGAGGACCCTGATGGAATCCCTCTGGCTGATGCATGTAGACCTTGACATCCATGACTCCATTCAGGAATGCATGGGAAATGTCAATGGAGCGCAAATGGAGGTTGTGGATGGCTGCAATGGCAAGGACAACTCTGATGGATGATATGCGGACAGTAGGTGCAAATATTTCGAGGAAATCAAAGCCAGGGCACTGGTTATAACCTTTGGCCACATATCTGGCCTTGTAGCGCTCAACAGTGCCATCTGAGTTGCGCTTGATCTTGAAGACCCACTTGCCACCAATAGCATTGACTCCAGGAGGTAGTTCCACTAGTGACCAAGTACCATTGCGCTCATGAGCTTGAAGCTCTTCCATGGCTGCCTCTCTCTATTTATCTGCATCAGGACACTTCATTGCATCTGCAAATGACCTAGGCTCAGCAGAGTCTCCAAAGTGTGCCACTTCATCATCAACTGCCTCAGAATCACTGTCATCACTCTCAATGGCAGGAGTAGGTTGTCTGTGTTGAAGCCACCATGGTCTAGGTGGTCTCCTAGCCCTTACAGGGCGTCTCAGTGCAATAGGCAAGTCAGGAGAAGGTGAGCGATGAGGAGGGTGATTTGGAAGCTCAGGAGGTTGATTCACAGGTGGTTTTGCATCAAGGTCCAAATGAGGCCCATTGTCAGGCAATGGCTGAGGCTGCTGAAGCGCAGCTGGTGGGCCCATATCTCCCCCTGGACCTGGTGCAGGGACATCCTCAATCAGGCCCAATGGCATGGATAGTGAAGGTGGAGTGGGAGGTGGAGGCGGGACATTGTTAGAAGGCCTCTTCAAGCCAGGGAAGTAGCGCTCATCAAAATCAGCTCTGTCAGAGATAACAGTGCGCTTGGTGGTAGGATTGTAGAATTTCCATCCCTTGTACCCCTTGGGGTAACCAATGAACACACATTTCTCCATATGAGAGCCAAAGACGCCTCTTTTGTCCTTTTGCACATGCACATAGGCAGTGCAGCCCCAAATGCGAAGGTGAGACATGTCAGGCTTGCGTCCATACCACAACTCAAATGGAGTGGCATGGGCCACTGCATCAGTGGGACACCTGTTCCAGACATGCACCAAAGCAGACAGACATTCACCCCAGAAGCTGTTAGGCAATGCAGACTCTGATAACATGGCAGTGATACGCTCAGTCAGAAGTCTGTTTGCTTGCTCTGCCACACCATTCTGCTGAGGATGATTCCTGGTGGTATGCTGTCTGACAATCCCATGGTCATCTGTGAATTGCTCAAATTCCTTGGACATGTACTCTCCCCCTTTGTCATCACGCAGAGCCTTGATTTTACACTCCAATTGAGTCTCAGCATAAGCCTTGAATCTCTTGAAATCATCAAAGACATCTGACTTGGCCTTGAGAGGCACAACAACACGGAATCGACTGTGATCGTCAATGAAGGTGACCCAGTAGCGATAACCAGAGAATGTGGGGGAAGAGACTTGGTGTACATCAGAATGGATGAGGTCCAAAGGATGAGCAGAGCGAGTATCAGATGAGGGGAATGGATTGGCATGCATTTTGCGAGACAAGCACGGTTCACAGACAGGATCAGGAGCAGCCTTGGATTCCAGTGTAAGCCCAGTGACCAGATCTCTCTGTATCAGTCTCTTGACATCAGCATGATGGTGGTGAGCCAATCTACGATGCCAGAGCATCAAATCAAGTGGTATAGTCGCAGTAAAATGTCCCAATTCAACACAAGCAGCAGTAGATCCATCAAGGAATGCTGCATTGTTATCATTGATAGTTGCAGTGAACAAGAGAGTGTTGTCACGCATAAAGGACATGGAATGAGACGAAATAGTGACATTGAAACCACTTTGACGAGTTAAATACAAGACTGAGAGGAGATTATTTCGAAGATCTGGTACATGGAGCACTCTGGAGAATTCCACAGCCCTAGCCACTTTGCCATTCATCACAGGATTAAACACCACAGTACCAACACCAGCTGAATAGACAACAGTGTGATCAACCAGCTTGATTGGCACACAATATGGGGTATAGTGGTGCACCCAATGATGATGAGGTGTCATATGAGAAGTGGCACCTGTGTCTGCATTCCAATCAATGTCAGCATCAAGTTGGAGAGGGCAATGAGGATCAAAGGGATGAATGGAACGAAGACTTGCATTTCCAGCTGATTCAGTGACCACAGTAGATGAATTAGCATTGTTGGGCAAAGATTTGGGCTGCTGAGAGGTATTCTGAGAGTTTCTGGAGCCTGCCTGAGCCTTATTGCCACGCTTGTAGCGATTCTTCACACCCTCCACTGCCTGTTGGCGACTAGCAATGTATCTGTGGCATTTGTCTTGGGTATGACCAAGTAAACCACAGAAATCACACTAAACGCGAATAGAGGTGGTGGATTGGTTGCAATGATGGCAGTTAGGATGGGTGCAGGTGCTATTGGCAGTGGTAGACGAAGAATGCAAGGCAGAATTGACTTCAGCACGACGACAGTGATTGACCTCTTCAGCAAGGAAAGCATCCCTGAGCTGGGTCTTGTCCAAGGTGCCCAGAAGTAGTAGAGATGAAGTGAAGTGGGCATATTGATCAGGAAGCGCCCTAATCATGGCCATGCATGTCAATTCATCGTCCAATTCAGAAAATGAGAAGCCAGTAGGACGAAGATTTTGAATCTGATGCATGCCTTCGTCAATTCTGGTCATGAGAGACTGCAGGGACTCGTCCTCCTTCTTTCTGATAGAGAAGAAGTCGTCATAGGCATTAAATCTCGTCCCAGGCTTCTTAGAGACGTGCACAACTGCCAGTTTCTCCCAGATCTTGACAGGATCATCAATGATGCCATCAAGATGGATGCGCTGCTCTTTGGTGACATTGAGATATAATGCACCAGCAGCCTTTTCAGCTCTCAACTCCCATTTCTCTATTGCTTCAGTGTCAGTCCCAGGACACTTTTCAGCGCCAGAGACGAGCCTCCACAGTCCCTTGGTCATCAACCAAGCTTGCATTTCACCACTCCACTGGGGGTAGTTAGTGCCAGACAAGGGATGGAACTTGGGATCAGAGTCAGACATGATGGGTGTTGTATGAGACAATAGAGCAATGATAAATGATGTAGGAGACGGTTATAGGCAATGGAATAGTGGCAAAGACAATGGGCAACAGTAGGAGGCAAGCAGATAAGATGGTGAGGCGGTAGAGAGAGGATATGGAGAGGGTCAGAAAGCGCAAGGATAGGTCCAAATAGGGTCCAAAAAGCGTCCAAAAGTGATCCAGGAGGGTGCTAAGGCTTCCTAGTGCTGCTACATGGTTACACCTGTGTTCCCCTTTCAATTCCACACTGATATTAACAGAGAAATCGCCTCGAGACAGTGTTGGTTAATAGGGCTTGTATATGAGTCAACAAAGTGACTTAAGCTCCCCAAACACCGCAGACTGAGAGAGGCTCTAGGCAACAGCAAACTGAGGCAATGCAGGCGAGCTTCACAGTCTATAGGCTTGTTCTTTCTGATAATGGACAGAGTAGAGAAGATTGGAGCTTTATGCACACACCAGATATGCCAAAAAGTGAAAAATAGGGCAAAAAGTCGAAATTGATGCAGAGACAGATAAGATGGATGGATTGCCACCAAATCAGAGGTATAGGGAACATTTTTATAGAGTAATAGATGGCCCAAATATCACAAGAAGTGAAGCACAGGATGTGGAGATATGGAATAGGGGGCCAAAAGGTGATCAAATGATGATGAAGGCTCACAGAAAGATCCAGCTCAAATCCAACCGCTCTGACAGGTCTCCTAGGGTTATTTAGGCCGTAGAAGACGATGGTAGAAGTTACAGGACGATCAGATAAGGATTAGGCGAGATATGGTGCAGATAAGACCAAAAAAGCGTCCGAAATGGGGGTAACTTGCAACAAGGAGTTGTTGTTGGAGATCAAGATGAGATCAGAGTAATCTGAGGTGATGGATGAGATAATAAGAGTCCCAGAAGACAATGGTTACAATGGATAAGCAGTAGGACACTTGGATGGTGAGATATGAGGTCAGGAAGATGGCTAGAGCACAGGGCTCATAACCTATTAATAACAAAGCTTGAAGGAAGTGTCTAGCCACTTGCTGAGAGCAATCAGGGACTGGAACTAGAGTCCAATGTGAGTAACTTTATTATTAGAGAGTATGACAGGTATACAGTACCTAGAGTCCAATGTGAGTAACTAGAGAATAGGAAGCATTGGACTCTGCAATACTGTCCGAAGTTTTGTAAACAAAGGTAAACAAAGCAGCCACAAAGGCGAAATAATAGAGAACACAATTAATAGTGAATGATAGAAGAATAGATAGAGAAAGGAATGAAAATATATAGGTAGCACAAAGGTGCAGAATCACCAAAACTAACAACAACTTTATTATTTACCTAAGTAAAACAACAATAGATGTCAGTTGAAGGTGATCTCTAACCCCCTACTACTTATAGCTGGAGGTGCTACTTGCTAAGGTATAATGACTCCTAGGAGAACAATGACGACTCTATGGAGCGGTGGCTATACTCTATGGAGAACAATGGCTGCTTTAGCAGAGACTGGGTTTATTTGGTTTTATCACATCTAGCACTAAATCAGGATCTTCAGGAGCTGTAAAGATCCTCCCGTCTGTTTCTAATGTGGTGTGATTATTACTGTCATCATTTTATTGTGTCTCATTTACTTTAAAAAGGCCAGACCAACTTGTCAGCATTATCTGAGACAGTGCTACCTTCTTGCGTGGTAGCTCTTTCCTTGTTATTACCATAAAATCTGACTGATGGTATTCCAGGGTATCCACAGCGCCATTACAGAGGGTTTGTTCACGTCAATGGGAAATTATAGTTATTTTCTTTTGCCCTCTGATATCCGTCAGAAATTGCTGATGAGGCATTATACTGTGCTTTTAGTAGCTACTTATGCTACAGATACATCTAGGTTACACAGTACTGCAATATGTATAATTTTGGATGCAATGGTAGAGCATCCAATCATGATTGGTCCCAACCAGGCCAGTCACACATACACATACTGCGGCTGAGACTTCTCGAAAAATTCATGTACTGTTCATTACATGTATGTCTTCCCATTGTCAAACAAGCCTCACAGTGCTGACAACTATCCATCAGACAAGCAAGTAAAAGCTCAGCACTGGCAGGTAGGTGGACTTGTTGGGCTTATCACATAGCTAACATAAACTACCATGTATTATAATAATACTAGATCTGACCAAGTAGTGTATATTTACACATATTCACCATAGTTAGCAGGCTGGTAGGCCTTTGGAGTTGTTCCATCCCTAGCAAAAGCTACTGCCCATTAACAAAATGACATAGCTTCTCATACTTTATCAGAGCTAAAAATCATGGAAGATGTGCTAGATTTTTGTGAACTCACTCAAAGATTATACACTATTGTATTATGGTAACTCAGAATAATACTCAATATAAACATGTCAGTTTTGATAACAATAAATAAGGACATATATAACTTTGTTGTACCTTCATCAATTTCCTGATGCATATTCTAAGGTACAACTTGTACAAATTACTTATTGAATATATACAGTCTTGGCACAGTGTATGAAAAGCATTTTTCAAAGAGGCATATACAGTAAATGTAAGACAGTTTTGACCTACCATCTTTATAACTTTTGTGTATGATATTATGGCACTGTTTGCAATGATGTGCTGGTAAGATGGTGTCAGTGTACAATACATAGTAGTCTGATTGCATTCATACGTACAGCTTTGAAACACCATACAGTGTGGGGAGGCCGCCAAATGTTTGGTACTACACAACTATCAGTCAATGAATGCAGCAGGCTGTGCACATGTTGTGGCTTAAAGCTGTATACACCTTACAGTGTGGGAAGGTATGCATTATAGCGATATGAGTCTTAAGACTAGCCGTGGGTGGGCACCTGTGTCTGCTTTGCTTGAGTGCCTTTGGCACCCTCCCTCTCTGTGTATTTCACTGTCCCACTCTCTAGGGTGCCTGTGCCACCTCCAGTCCACTTTGGTCAGGCATCTTTGGTACATCCCCCTTTCTGCACTAATCTCTAGGGTGCCTGCAGCACCCCTGTCTCTTTGATCATTGGTAGCACCACTTTGGGGGGCACTTACAGTCTCAGCCACTCTATTCAAGGTCCGCTCTGAGCTCCTGTTTTGCACTCAGCTCTGGGTCAGAAAATCATGAAAGGGATCCCACATGGGAAACCACACGAGCATAAGCAAGAAATACGCAAGTATTTCCAAGTTAAGCAAACAACAGTCTCCCCCTCTTGTTCATTCTTGTTTCTAACAAGGTTTAACCTGTGGCTCTACCACCGTGGTGCAATGATAAATAATAATACTGATAAGTGATCAAAATGTTAAGTCAGTGGAATTGTGCTATCTGTAAAGTATGTTAAGTCTTTAAATCCTATTATGCATGTTTGTTCCATCATTGAATGTTCTTATAAGCCTGCCCTAAAGGCACAGCACTTCAATACTCTTCTTTTTATCTGATTTATGTGTATCCCATTACATAGTCCATCTAGGGGATCAATATTGTGGAGGAGCATAAGCAGACATCCAGCTTTAAGTATGGGGGCCAGATACTTGCAAGGAAATTAAGAATTCCACAGAATAATGTTCATGCCCCTCTCCAACCACTTTATCAATTAACAAAGCTACTAACTCTTCTCCAGGGAATTTTGTGAGGATTCCTGAATTGAGGTCGCTAACGGCATCATTTTTTGCGGAGAGGACGGTGCAGTGGGGGAAATAATCCTGCATGTGGATATTTTATTTACAGGAATAGGGATTTCAAGGCACAAATGAGCTGTGCAGCCACCCTTCAAGAGCAGGGATGCAATCCCAGAGGATGCTACAAATAGAATAACATTATAATTTTCCCTTGCTCAAACAACAGTAGTAATTGTATTACAAAGATATATTTTTCCCCTACCGGTATTTCCAGCACTGTGAATAAACCAAGCTGTTCCCCAATTATGATGAATTGACTGTATGATGGTATCAAAAGCATTCTGCTGCTCTTGGCTGAGCTACTCTGCATTATCTTTCACCTCCAAAGTGAGATGAAATCTGTCATAATTTTGCTGTTCATGGAGAAAACTGTTTGCAATAATAGGCTTCTTTTGTTGCTCAAAAAAAGGCATTAGAGTAAAGTTTGGAAAACACTTATTGGATTGAGTAAATATGGATTCCAGAAAAAATAGCCAATAGTTGTAAATCTGGTCTTTTGAAGGTTGACACATTAACAATGCTACACATACTGCATATTTGAATTGCTCATATTCATATTTATGTATTTGCCATATGCACTGATTTATTGATAATTTGGGCTTCTGTAATCAATGTGTCAGTTTTAATTGAATCAACACCATAAACTGTTATAAACTCACATTGTGTAAGCTGTATTTTTATGTGTGGGGAAGCGTCTTTGATTTTACTTTTATGCACACCACAGTGTGGTCAATCAATAATAGCTGTTAATTTTTGTAATGCAAAATGTGCAAATTCTCGACAACAATTTGTTTTGTGTGTAGGGCCAGACCACTTCCCCATATAGTAGGAGAAGAGGTTTGTTTGGTTGAGTTGTGTCACATTGTGCCACAGGTGTGAGTTTTAGTGTCCACTATATTGCGTTTTGTAGTAAAAACAATTAAGCACGGGAATTTCCAATGTGGCTGCATGCACTACTACTGTACTGCTGCTCCTGTGTTGCCACAAAAAACCATGCGAGCAAAACTAAGCAAAATAACCAACGCAACATGGTATTTTGGACCACTGTCCCCTTTGTTATAGACAAATTGCACTTGTTGCAGCTTTGCTGCAACTTTCAGGTGCCTGCGGCACCTTCCACACCCATTGTGCCACAACAAAGCATGTGAGCAAAACTAAGCGAAAAAATGTGCTCTTACGTGACTTTTGGGACCACTGTCCCCTTCATTATAGATACCATGTGTAGGCTATCCATCTTGACAAATCATTTCAATTCTGGATTGCCAACCCCGCTTGGCTATAGCAACTCTCCCCCAATGAGTGGGTAACCTGCGACGAGGAATAAACAGAATAAGGGCCTGTTCAGCAGCCTCTGTTTCAACATGAGAGCTGTTTGCGAACATGCTCATTTTGAACAACTCTCAGCACAAACACTATTTCTCACGCTATATCACACTACGTTACACACATTTCAGGATTGTAGATCAAGTAAGATAGGCGTCCTCCACAACCAATGCCATTATATAACATGACTTGGCTTGTGACCACTGGCACAATGGGGCAAATCACCAACTTGAATTTTTGTCATCTTTGCCACAAAAAATCTATCCCGTTTTACATGGCACCATTTTCTTAGTTCTTCTTACAGTATTATATTTGTATTTACCAAGTTTCAGCTGTTCTCTCAAAAACATTTCTAAAATCATAAGTAATTCCTGGTACCGTAGGTTACCAGCCTCACATTCATTCACAATTTGACACTGGAAATGGCACCAGTCATTTGCACCAACATCTGTATTTCTTTATGACTGTGTGTTTTGCGGCTCACTTTATTTCTTGCTTTCTTCCCACTTTATTGTTTGATGGCTCAGACACCTTCTTTGTCATGCACTGACTCTGGTGGCACTTCCACTTTTGAACACTCTCCTCTATCAACAACTTCGTATCCACATGCATCTACTTCTCAAACACTTCCAGATAGCGCTTCTCATCCAGTGGTTACTTCATCTCATACTGACCCCTAACAAGTCCATCAACGTGAGCATTTTCTGCCCTCTCTTTCAATTCTGAGCTCACTTCTTACCCTCTGTGTGGATAGTGTTCTGTTTTGGATGTTCTGATGTTCACAGACCATGATCTGCCAGTTGTTGAGTCAGATGTTCCCTCTGACAATAGAAAGTTAGCTGCCAATTTTATCACAACTTATTGTCTTTGGTGTACCTTCAAATTTGGTTCTGTATATAGCAATGAACATTTTGAGCCGTACAAACTCTGGCCACAAGGTCGCAATGTTGTTGTTCACTTTGACACTGTTTTTCTCAACTCATTTTGCATTTTCAACATTTGACAGCCTCTCATCTTGGTCAAATTGCAAGTACGCATGATTGTGGCCCTTGTTGTGCTGATAACAATAAATTTATTTTCCAAGAGTTGAAATCAGATTACCACGCTGCGGATTGCAAACACATTACTACCATTGTCAATGACTATCAGATTTCACACTCCCATGCAGCACAGTGTCATGCCTTCAACTCTAGGCTTAGCCAAGCAAGAGCATCTTCACCTTCAAGTGCACTCCCACTGTCTTCCTTTCCTCATCTTGCCACAGATCAGCAAAAGATGGATATCATCAAGAAGTGGGACACTGCTCAAAAATTGCTTCTTTTGATGCACAGGCCGTGCGCAGTTTGTGGTCAGAAGAAATTATTTGATGAAGTACAACCTATTGACCCTGACACCTTTGACTTAAAGTTGTTATGGAATGAATTATTGCCCCTACACATGTTACCAACATCTTACAATATCGGGCAGTATGACGGAGCGCTGTTGTACCACAGGGGTTTAGAGAGTACCGAGACTCTAGGTGCAGTGTATATGTGTTTGTCTTGTTGTCACTCTCTTGTTGATTGTGGGAAGCAGCCGCTAGACTCATGGGCAAATTTTCAACATCACAGACATGATTCTTTATCGCCTGCCGTACTGGATTGCGCCGACAGTGCTTCCTTGTTCAACCTGATGCTTGTAGCACAAGCACGTTTCACTCAAATTTCTTACCTTTTATCTGAGAAAAACGGTGTAATGTGTGGCAATCCTGCAACATTGCAGAAGTTTATTAAAGGCAATGTCGTGATCCTGCCTCAAGACACTATCAGAGTCCGCAACTTATTGCCCCCTTCGCCAGAAGAAATTGAACAATCAGTTACTGCATTATTTGTCAAGGCAGATACCACTGTCAATCAAGAATTAATTGGAAAGCTGCATCCCGTCCTTGTAAGCAAATGTAAAGTTAAGACTTTGTTAGAATTTCTCATTGCAAACAATCCTTGGTATAGACATAGTGGTGTGCAAATAAGTGATCAGAATCTCACAGGTTTGTACACCGGCAGTGCAGACGGTCAAATTCCACATGTGATTGCTTTCAATTTTGTGCCTCCACAGAGCGCTGGCAATTCTGCAACCTCAAGGTACTCCGTTTGCAAAGGGCATGAGGCCTCCGCTTCAAGTGCTGATCCTGACTTTGTCCTTGATGCTGTGGGTTACACTACAGGCAATCATTCTCCTGCAAGCTACAGAATAATGAAAGCTACTGCTTTAGCATCCTGTTTGGATGGCAATTGGTTCTTACAGTTACAAAGTGCTAGTTGTCTTATGAATAATGATAACCCATCTATGCTTTTGCTTTTGTTTTCTCACTTGGGGAATTGGTGGTTTTCACCACCCAGATCCCACAGAAGCTCAACACATTTCATTTGATAGGCAAGTCCGTAACTTGTTGATGCAAGACCATGGGCGCTTTCAACAAGATCCCAATTTTGCCTATGTATGTTTCAATATCATGCAAAAAAAGGAAATTAATCAACAAGTCTGCTTTCATGTTCCTTCAGCGTTACGGGACAACATAGGTGCATAAGTAACAGAACATGCCTCTGATTTGATGGATCTCATTCGACTATGGGAAAGAAATCCCTCTGCAAAACCTTCCAATTTATATCAAAAGAAAGTGTTACATTTGTTGAACAAGTTAAAGCTCATTGTCAAAGAGGTGAAGGGCTCAACTGGTTATAAGCTCTGTTGTCAAAATGAGACACATGCACTTATTAAGAAATTTGGGATGCCTGCACTTTTTCTCACTTTGAATCCTTCTGAAATTTCACAACCTCTAGTTGGTGCTCTAGGTGGTTTATTGCCTGACATATGGCAAACTATGTCTTCATGCAAACAAAGTTTATTTGTTGCAAAAAATCCTACAGCCGCTTCTCAGTTTTTCTTTCTATGTTGTGATGGAAAGATTTCTTAAAATTATAGTTAAACACAGCTCTGATTCCCCTGGCTTGTTGTTCGGACACAGTGACACTTTTTATGGCATGGTCAAAGCCCAAGGTTGCGGAACTTTGCTCTGTCATCTACTTCTATGGTTGCAGGGCAACCCCAATCCCCAGGCATTACGGGACAATATGAGGGATGATCCAGAATTTCAATTTCAAATGTTTACATGGTTGGAGTCCATCCTAAAATGTGAACTACCTGGCATAACAGACGTCTTGACTGAAAATTCAGGTGTTCCCATCACAAAGCCTCCTCACCCTCCAGATAGTGACAATCCTTGATTAAAGAGTATGAGTTGTGATCTCAAAAATGACATTGTTTTTCAGCGTGAATTCCAAGCCTTTGCAAAAGAGTTGGCTATATCCTGTAACTGGCACGAGCACACCAATATGTGCTGGAAACACTTGAAACCTGGGAAACTCTGTAATGGCACCCATCGCAGGATGCGGATCAATGGTTCTACTTGTTCTCTGACAGAAGTTGACGCAAACACTGAGTCAATTTTGCTCCGAAGACTGCATCCTTGCAACAACAATTTCAACAATGTTGTGCTGTTTTTAATGCGCTGCAACACGGACATTAAATACATTAGCTCAGGCAAAGCTGCAAAGGCCCTTGTGTACTATGTTACTGACTACATCACAAAATGTTCCTTGCCCATTCACGTCAGTTTTGATGCTCTGCGTTATGCAGTCAAACAAAACGGGATGAAGTATTTAGGTGCAAACAATACTCAAACCGCTAAAAATTGTAGTCTGTTTACCAAAGCTGTAAATGCAATTATGGCATGGAAAGAACTATCTCACCAGCAAGTGATGAGTTACTTGGTCGGATGTGGTGACTGCTACAAATTCACAATTTTAAGCTGCTGTGTTGGGGTGATGTAGACCGGTACATATTTGCAGAAGAAAGCCGCTGAACAGATCAAAATGTTACTTTGCAGAATGATCCCAGTCTTGACGGGGATGAAGATGAAACATCAGATTACAACAAAGACGTCTCTGACAATGACTTTGAACATCTGGAGTCTTCCTCAGATGATGTTGTGCTCACTTTTGATGGGCTAAGTTTTGGATCAAATACCGATATCCAGGATTACTGCTGTCGGAGTAACAAAGAGGTATTCAACAATATGTCTGTATGGCAGTACACAGAGGAAGCTCACAAAATCTCTTTAAGTCAAGAAATTTCTCGGTTGGAAAAACGTTCAAACCCTCCTGATGGGAATGACACTCAATGCGTGCCTGGTAAACGCCCTCTTGCTTGCAATCATTTTCTGAGTCCACATCCTCAACAATATTCTCACTTAGTCCGCCAGCGTGAGGTTCCTTTTGTCCCTGTTTTGATAGGCAGCCTGCTACCTCATCATGATCAAGGTGATGCTGAATATGAACTCTGGACACGTGCTATATTGATTTTTTTCTGTTTAAGCCTTGGCGCTCGATCGCTGATTTAAAAAGAGGGAATGAGAGCTGGCGTGCAGTGTTAGAACTCCACGTATTCTCCCCAACTCTGGAACAGATTATGAAGAACATGAGTGTGGAGTATAAATGTAAAGATGTGTGTGATCAACACGACACCCAACGTCAGAGCACAACAGCGCACAACATCATGGTCCCTGCTGGATATGAGGGACGTGTTTTGGAAAACAAAGCATCTTACATTTAGCAACTCTACAACAAGAAGATGTGTCTTATGTCAATGGGGCTTTTGATGCTCTTCATGCATTGGAAAATGTTACATTGCCTGATAAACAGGGAGAAAAAGTTGCTGAAGTTGTGAATTGTTTGGACCATGTGGGAATGTTCTAACAATCTGCAAGAAAACACAGGGAATCCTGTTTTCTGTACACCGTCAATAGTCACCAATGATAACATGACAAACATATGCCTAGAAAGTATTCTCATGAAACAAATGAGAAAGAAGAAAAGAGTCCACCCTTCACATCCAGAAGACAACCAAGGTGAAGGGCACACACACAAGCATGCAAGAACTGATCTTGATGGAAATACCACAGTGTGCCAGCATACTTCTTCTAACACCCAATCTTCCCCCCAACTGCCCATTCGCACTCCAGAGAATGTCCTTGATGAAGTGATAGCAGAATTCGGGATTTCTGGAAACGATGAACAAAAATGTGCTGTGAAGTTGGTAGGTGAATATTATATGAATAACTGTCATAAACAGCAGGTGTGTTTGATGTCAAAGAATCAGCCACAGATGCAGTTCCCTACTCTCCTCCCATGCCCACTGACAAAACCGGATAAACTCGGTCTCTGCCAAAGCAGCCATTGTTCTCCATGGAGCATAGCCACCACTTCATGGAGTCACCATTGTTCTCCTAGGAGTCATTATACTGTAGCGAGTAGCACCTCCAACTATAAGTAGTAGGGGGCTTAGTATAGAAATACCTCAGTCATTTCTATAGCCTCTTGGGCAGCGGCTGAGGTATGTTACATTACATTTATTAGAGATCACCTTAAACTAACATTAATTGTAGTTTCACATAGGTAAATAATAAAGTCGTTTCTATAGCCTTTTGGGCAGCGGCTGAGTTTCACATAGATTTATTACCCGCAACCGCCGATAATCTCATGACCATTCATCAGCAAGCACAATTAATGAAATACATTAAAAAGCGTAAAAGACCATGTCCTACCAAAGATTGCCAAACTCTTCAGAGTGCCAAGCACACCCGCACTGATGTAGGTCCTCACACATCATTGAACACAGTCGCCCTTGATTAGCTTTCAGGCATTGACTCCATATCCTTTCTCTCCTCCCACGCACATACACCAAATCATCAAAGAAAAAGGGATTAAAGGCAATACAGAGCAAGAAAGAGCACTTACTTACTTTGGTTGGAGAACACTGTGCAACAAAAAGTGATGAGCACATGCTGCTGTACATTGCTGGCATTGGGGGCTCTGGAAAAAGTCATGTAATCAATGCAATTGCGGATTTTTTTTTGATAGGTGTCACTCCTAACACGAGCTCCTTCTCAGTGCTCCCACTGGTTGTGCGGCTGTGCTAATTGGTGGATACACTATCCATGCCCTGACTTTCTTACATAAATCAAAACACAAACCAAATCAGAATGAGCTAGAAAAGATCTGGCACAATGTAAAATACCTTGTGATTGATGAGATTTCAATGGTCTCCACCAAACTAATGAGTGACATATCCCATGGACTTTGTTCAGCCACCGCTTCTGATCCAACTTGAGCAAACAAACCTTTTGGTGGGATAAATGTAATATTTACAGGAAATTTTAGGCAGCTAAAACCTGTTAAAGAGACGGCAATGTTTAGTTATAGTTTAGTCAGCCAATTGCAACCAAACTCTGCTCAAACCGATCCTGTGGCATCAAGTGAATAAGGTTGTGGAATTGAAGAAGAACTGGAGAGCATAAGGTGATCCCGCTTTTGTTAACTTGTTGCAACAAATTTGACTGGGCAATGCATGGAACAGAGTAAGTGCCTTGTCTACTGAGCAAAAAGGGTGTGGTGTTAATTATGCTGAGTCTGACCTCAATGTATCAACAAAGCGGCATCTGACTTATCTTTATTCACACCATGCAGATGAACTCCATCAATTTGATGACACACCAATCATTGTTTGTGAAAAGGTTGTCCGGGATGCCATCAACTACAAGAAAGTTGAGCCGTTTGCTTGCTCTACACAACAAGAGTTATATACCTTCCATTCTTGTGACACAGTCAAGAAGTTGGACATTGAAGAAAATCTTCAACAATTTGTGTGGACAAAAATTAAATTAGCTCCTCCATCACTCATGATAGTTTGGGAAAGTTGCCTCTTGTACGAGGCATGTGTGTCATGGTAATAGAGAATATTGCCATTACTTCTAATGTTGTAAATGAAGCAGAGGGGATCTTGGACAACATCAAGTTCTCCACAGATGCTCAGTATTGCTGTTATGCTGAATGTGCATATGTTAAATTTGATAGTGCAACTATTGACAGTCCAGGCCTACCTCAAGATGTTGTTCTAATCCTTCCCAACACAACATGGTTTACTTACAGCCCTCCAAGACAGCTGGCCGAACACAACAATGACTCTACTATTGCCTCACTTGAAGCATGTACAATTGCATGCACTCAATTGCCACTGCTCCCAGCCTATTCCTACACTGACTACAAAGTACAAGGACGCCCTCTCAAACAGGTTATCTTGGACCTAGCAGGCTGTCAATCTTTGCAAAATGTGTATGTATTGTTGTCCCGCGCAACATTTTTAGCTGGCATTGCAATCATGAGGTCATTCACAGGAAAACAGATCAATCAACGCATAGCTCAAGAATTTTGTGATGAGTTTCTCAGGTTAAAAGAGCTCAATACATTGACTACAGCACAATTTGAGGCGCAACTCCATTACTGAGTCATGTGTAAGGTGTGTGACCTCCAACCATGCTGGCAAAAGGTCTTAACATCTGATAAGTCCCTGTGCAACTATATCCTCCCAGATACCACACTATAGCGCTCCCATAATACCACCGATCTTCAATAGAATCTGTCACTCTCACCTCAATGTCTCCTTCCTGCATTCTCCAAAACAGGCCGCTTCGGTCATTCGTTGTGCGGATTGTATGAGGACAAAATGAATCCTTTCGACATTGGTGAATTTTTTCCCCATTCATGTTTTCTCATGCTCGAGGATTGACACAAATACTATAGCCATGTTCGATATATTTCAAATATCCACGAACTGTACTTGTAAGCAGAGCGATGTACTGGAACAATGTATAGTGATTGGCATCCGTAAGTGAGCAATGCTGTGTGGTGAGGTTTGGGTACGTGCTGAAGAATCCACCCCCAGAAATGAAGTTCATCACTCCGGTTGTGTGGCATCTGAAAATTGGTGAAATGCTCAGGTTTGTCGATGACACCACCACATCAGTCTTCCTCCCTTCTTTGCTAACCATTATTACTTCTTGTATGTCCACATCTGCAATATACTCGTCCACAGATTTCCCTTCTCTATTCACCACTTGATATCCCTCAGAATATGCCAAGTAGTTCAGCATCCTATTCTTTGAAAAGTGCGGCACATACAAATCCATGTCTCTTGGCACCCACGCAGTGTGCCTACACCACTTGGTAATTTTGGTGTGATGTGCCATCATATATCATGGCATCTGCCACTGTACATTCTGCTAAAACTTTGTCCAGTATTTTGTTGGAAAATTTGGCAAGAAGTCTGCCACCTTGATGCCCTTCATACAAAGGGGCAGGGCACATTTTCTGAACCAGTGACTGGGTGAGTGAAGACATGTAAACAAATGAAACTATTTCTGATGGCTGTTCTAGCCTTTTTACCCTTATAGCCATTCACATCCTAACAACTGTGCCTTTGTCAATGAGTTTTCATTGCAAAAAGTCTCAAGTGGACATAACCGGAACTTGGGGTGATACTCTCAAAATTTCAAATACAAATCATAGATTATTTACCTTACACCCTTTGCACCCCCCTCATCTGTTCCACCTTAGTATTTGGTACAATGTTGTTTGTTCAGGGTACATTGATACTTCATATTTTCTTCACCGGTTTTTTCTAACACACTCCCTCCAGATAGCAAAAATGTCATACTCCTGCAAAACTGGCCACATCAGCTCACCAGTACCCTCTTGAAATCATTCAACACAGAGCTCAACAACACGCAGCTTGTGCCCACCACATATGAAGAACTATGTGAATGGGCATATGTAGCCAATGACCCCACCTCCACTGACCACAACCACCGCCATCTCTTGTTATACAAGAACCCCTTCCCCCATGCGGAGGTGAACACTCTGTACCCAGTCACTATTTGCCTACAAGGCATAGTGGAGAAAAATGTCAACTTGCAGCGCTTAGGTGCTGGCATGGGTTTGTTCTTCACTTCATGCTTTTTTTGTGTTGCACTCAATTATATATTCAGCACACTTCAATCTGTGCCCTCTGCTGCACAAACTCTTACATTGTCCTTAGGGCCTTTCAAAGAGTAGTGGTGTGCTGCCCTTCACTCCATTTGTAATGTGCGCTAACTGGTACATGTCAGCCTTGGTCAAGTAAACTATGAAGAGCCTCTGTTGACTTCCATGTGATCATTGTATATGCAATGTTGTGTTTTTACAAAGGTGAGGCCTTAAAATCCCATCATATGTCTGTCTTGACCCCTTTAAATGTCATCTAGATTTCTCATAGAAACAAAGACGTGCAATCTGTGTTAGTACCGTTTGATGACCCAAGACAGAGAGCAAAGAGTGTGAATGAGAAATGGAGAGTTGTGGAAATACTTGTGCTCAGACGAATGGACAGCACCGGGAAAACCATCCCCTTTTCACACACACTCTTCCGCACTGGGGACTTTGTCAAAGTTGGCGTCTCCATTGATGTTAGCGTGTACCGCAATCAAAGTGCTAAGCAATCTGTGCGAGCCCACCTCAAACTTGAACATGTCTTCCATCTGCTCATTTACGCAAAGTATGTCTCTCACTTGCTCTTGAAAGTGACACATTATAACTCACTAAACAATAGCTTGGTGTTGTTTTGGAGCAGAAGATCATCAAACACAATGAAGGAACCTCTAAACTTTCAGCTGTCAGGAAGCCGATATTAAATTTTGATGCTTTCACCAATTAGATACTTTTCTGAGACCTCTATTCATACAATTTAAAACATGATTGTGGACCCTCAATCTTTTGTTACATTTCCCAATCACGTACATTTTGCAATGAGACAATGGTCACATTGTCTGGTCCTTGGCTGGATCTCCCCACAAATTGCCGCCCCAGTTTCTGTTCTATCCGTATCCCATCCCCTGATTACTGTTCAACTCCATTTTTGCAGATGCGTATCAACTGTTTCACTCTAATCTCCATTCTGACTGCAATCTTGTGATCCTTGATTGCAAAAATGAAAAAATAAGCAGTGCTGGGCCTTCCACTTCCCGACTTTGTCCATCAGCATTTATCTATTTTATTATGTTTACAACCCTCACCTCAGTCCTCTCCATTCAATCTCCCACCATCCATCTTGTACAATGCCTGCCTCTAAGTGGAACACTGTACATACTGCTTCTTCCCCAGACCCCACATCTTCAAAGAAACACAAAGTTGTTCCAGACAATGAAACTGAACCAGTCCTATCTACAGACAGTACTTCTCTCCCTATTTTACCCCACGACAGATCTCAAGGACATACACAAAGGTATGTATGCCTCCTCTGGTACAAAAATCACTCATTCAATTGTTTGCAATGCAGTGCATGCTCTATTGTGACCAAAAGCGAAAAGCAAACTGCACTATTGGATGGGCCGATGTCATGCATTAAAGTTGATTGGTAGCATGGACAGGTGTCAATAACAAAGCAAATATTCAAAAAGACTCACCTTTGCGCCACACAGGCACAGTGCCACGTGAAATAGCAATCCAGTCACGCTCAACTTTGCTTTTCCATTTGGTACTTTCGGCATTTCGGCATTTCGGCAAATTTTCACGTTGCCACTGGCTACACATTGCATTGCGCCCTCGCCTTCATTGTTTCCCTTACTCCCCTTCCTTTGCCTAGCCCCACCATGGGCCCCTTCCTCTCCTTTTTATTCTCACCCAACGGTTGTTTCTGGATCCCCATTCTAATCCACCTTTTCGTCACCTCCACCCCATTTGCACCCCCACCATTTCTGATGTCACCACTTCCTATCCGCTTCCGTCGCCAATCCGTTGACTACCACATGCCACTGCTGATATCAGCAAAGCCCCGGCGGCCGGTTCAAATAGGGCAACAGATCCATCTTTATGATGTCGATCTACCATCATATACTATCAAAACATCGGCCGCTCATCTTGCCTGGTTGGAGCATGGGTGGGTAGTTTTTGAGCTGGAGAAGGTTCATCCCCTTGCGTCACCCATGTTCATCGCTGTCCCATTCACTTGGGTACACTTATCTTTTGTCCATTGTCTTTGCTACAGCTACACCTACCACACGCTGCCTGGGACTCACTTGTTCCAAATTGGGACTACTCCTCTCCCTCCCTTGTTTGACCAGGTGGTCCAACACAACCAGTCTATTGGTGAGGCCATGGAACTGTCGGATTTGGACTAGGTGGTGGACCGGTGGCTCCAGTTTCTTTTTTTTTCAGCAGAACATTCATTTACAGTGTGATTATTTTTGATTTTTGAATCATTTTTATGGACACATATTTTTTTAGAATGCCTGACTGACAATAAAGGAACTGTGTTGATACTGATAGTGTTTTGCCTTGCCCTTTTTTTACCTGTATCTTCCCATGACATCATGATTTTCCTGCTCTCTTTTTGCTATTGGACTATACTTCATGGCTGACAACCGGACAT